GGCAACCACTGGTTAATGTGGCCTTCCAGTACTCAAAGGGAGCATATTAACAGGAGGGGAAATGGCTATTTACAAGGGGGGGGATAGTGATAGAACAAGGGGGAATGGCTTTAAGCAGAGGCTGGGGAGGTTTAGGTTAGATATTAGGAGGAAGTTTTTCACACAGGGTGGTGTCACACTGGAACAGGTTGCCCAAGGAGGCTGTGGATGCCCCATCCCTGGAGGCATTCAAGGCCAGGCTGGATGTGGCTCTGGACAGCCTGGTCTGCTGGTTGGCGACCCTGCACACAGCAGGGGGGTTGAAACTAGATGAGCATTGTGGTCTTTTTCAACCCAGGTCATTCTATGATGCTAAAGGAAAGCTTCAGGAGCTAAAATTACAAAATGGCAGCAAAGACAGTACAAATTTTAGGCTAACAAAGTACAGCAGGCCTGTACACATTTCTCATCTAACTTTGGAGATCTGGTCTTTGGAGGTCATGAAACTGCATGAATGAGGCCAGACACAGCCCTTCCCTCCACAGTACAGAAACAAAGAGGATCTCAGTGCAAGTTCCTTCCAGCAGTTTTCCCCATGCAGAGGCCAACATGGCAGCATTATCTACCTGTTTCAAGTATAGAGTTAGCATCCGTTGCTTGGGACTGCATAGCCACTGCAACACCAAAGGCAGAGGCACAGCATTGTTCTCTGCCAGGCAGAGCTACTGAGGTCTCATGATGTCCAGCATAAGAGCTGCAAGGCTGGTATTACCTTCTCCCCTATGATTTTCTGCTCTAAGGGTTCTATGCTATTGGAATGTACAGCCCACAGTGCCAGGTTCCTAAAGCCTTCAGAAAGGATTTCTGATGAGGACTGGTTTAGACGGAGTGACTGAAATGGAGGATGTGATGGTTCTACCGACATGCTGAGGCCATGCTGGTTCCTTCAGCAGGGGGCCAGACCCCCTCATGGATGTTCTCATTTCATCGCTTTGAGGCCACAGTGGGTGTGCTTGGATAGAACCGTTGTGAAGGTGACACGGGCTGTCACAGAGGACTGGGCACCAGTCAGAGGGTGCAGCTTGGAGCACTCCTGCTGAGTTTAGTGCATCAGAGGACGTCACGTCAGTTGGCCTCTGTGACAGAGTTCAACACAGTGTCCCATCCACAAGGTATTTCTATCTCGCTTGCTCACCCCAGCCCCACACACCTTTAACTCAACACTCTCCTGTGTGCCCCTGACTAAGAGGCTGCCCTGCAGCCCACCAGGGATTTTGTGACACCCGCTTAGCCACCCCACTGCATGCAGAAGTTTTGGCTGACTGTGGTAAGGGCATGCTCCACCTTAGGAGGGAGGTGAAAGCCTAGCTGGAAACAACCTGAGTCTGCTGCACAGGTGCCAGGCACGGAGGTTTAACCACTGCCTGGTGGCAGGTGGGCTGGCACAGGTCTGGCACAAACAGCAGGAGCTGGAGCACCTTGAGTGCTGCTGGCAGCCGGCTCTGCATCTTGGCACTGCCTGCAATGTTTTGTCACTGTGTTGGGCCCTGGCCACAGACAAGTTTTTGTTCTGCCCCTTTTCACACAACTTATCAGCTCTGGGGCCCCCTTCTGTTTCCTGCTCCGGAGCTGGAAGCTTCCCAAGACTCCAATGCTGCTATGTGCTGTCTCCTCTGTAGTGGCTTTCTTAGAGGAGCAGGGATTGGTTTGGAGATCAACTCCGATCTTCAAAGCAGTCAGACCCATCCTTGACTGAGGGAGGGCAAAGGAGCAAATGTCTGCTTGGCAATCCTTGCACTGGGAGATCCAAAAGGCCTGCATAGCATCCACCGCAGCTCCTCAGTGCAATGAGCACTCACCATCAGTGGCTGAGCTCGCCATGTGGCTGACTCTCCTTCCACCCTCAGATGCACTTCTGGTGGCAACAGCCTCTCCTTTATGTTTACAAGATGTTGCATGAGATGCCTGTAACTCACCTCTTCTCTGAGGCACAGGGGTCCCAAAACAGTAACAGTTGCTTGGAAGATGGGTGCAGGAGGGTTGCCAGAGGGCAAAGTTCATTTAGAAGGAAGAAATGAACTAACCTATCCTGGGGACTTGTTCCTCAACTCCATGCCTCAATGACAAGGCATTTTTTCTGCCACACCTGACCATGGGCAGCTTCACAGCTCTCTGCTGACTCCATGGCATGAAAATGAGAAGAGGCTCAAACACTCCCCTCCAACCTATTTGGCCTTTGGATTTGCCAAAGCATAGAGCAGATTAACCCCAATTAGGTGGAGGTGTACAAAAGACTACCGCAGAGCACTCAGCCCTTCAGATGGACTCCCCAGGTGGTGGTGTCAGGGAAGGCCAGGCAGCTCCAGTTCACATCTCCCAAGTTGTGTGGGTGTTCAGGGCTCACTGTGCTCTATTTCTTGAATGTGCCTGCTTCAGGCATTGCTCTCTTCCTCTGCTCATCACCAGGCTCCACAGCCCCACCTCCATCTTATTCCACATGCCCCTGGGCTCTGCTGAAGAAGGATGTGGTGTAGGGTCCATATTTATGGGGAGATGCACTTAGAAACATGGAATCAGAATCATAAAGGTTGGAAAAGAGATTATCAAGTCAACCCATTCCCACCATGCTCACTATGTCCTTCAGTGCCACATCCACACCTTTCTTGAACACCTGCAGGAATGCTGACTGCACCACATCCCTGGGCAGCTGTGCCACTGCCTCTCCACTCATTCTGAGAAGACATTTCCTAATATATATCCAACCTGAACCTCTCCTGGTTCAACTTGAGGCCATTTCCTCTCATCCTATCACTAGTTACCCGGGAGCAGATGCTTCCCTCCCCGTCTCTTTCATCACGCTCATCTTTCCTCCTGTGAGATCATCTGTCTCCTGACTTCTTTCATCTGGTTTCCCCAAACACAGCAACACCTTCACCCATGTAACCTTTTGAACCCCTGACTCCTCCAAGGGCTGGAAAGCAAATACGGTGAGTTTGCCCAGCTCTCACAACAGCAACATTGGTGTCTCATTTCTGTCGTTCCTTTCACTTTAAATGGCTCCACATTTCCTGCAGGGTGCACACAGAGATTCCCTCCACTTCCAAGAGGCTTGCACTGCTGTCAGGCAAACAGCCAACTCAAACCGTCAGGGCTGGGAGGTTCAGTCAGGAGGCAGATACTGAAAATCCTCTCTCCAGTGAAATGCCAGGAGAACTTTCCTACAGCAGCTGGAAAGAGCCACGCTTTCCTTGAGATCACAGGATGATGGTCTCTGTGTCGTGGAAAGTTTGTGTCACCCCTGTTGAGTCAGGAGTGTGATACATGGAATGTGAGTGGCTAGAAGGACAGTGATATGGTTTTTTTTTTTTAAGTGTTAAAGAAAAAAAGGATTCTTGACAGTGTTATCACTCATATGGGCCCAAACCCACAGCTGGCTGACATCACGGTTAAAAAAAAGACATTGACTGCAGTGGATTTGGAGCAGCTGCAGGGAGTGAGTCCCAAGGTGAATTGTGAAACCAACACGCCTTCACTCTATTACAAGTTTGTTTTGTCAAGGGTTATTTGCCTTGGTCTTTGTACCTTCCGAACACAGCATACTGCTTGCAGATTTCACAGTGAGGCAGACCCGGAGGCTGCAGGCAGTGTCATTACAGGGATGCAGCTTCTCACCCAGCCTGGATGTCTGACTGTGTGTCCTCATACCACTACGTCAGGCACCCTCACCCAGCTCTGCTGGGATGCCATTCAGCTAACCTGAGTTTCACACTGCCCCTCATACCCTGATTTGTACAGCAGCTGTCCATGAATATATGTCTCCCTCTCTCAGATATGATGGATTCTCAGATTGGTGGGAAGGTTCAACCTCTACTCCCATGCCACCAACATCTTGTCTCTGACAACGTGGGCTGAGGGAATGGGGATTGTTAAGCCAGGAGGAGGCTCAGAGGAGACCTTATCACTCTCTTCAAGTGCCAGAAAGAAAATAGTTAGGAGGAGGTTGGCTTCTTCTCCCAGGTAAAAAGTGATAGGACAAGAGAGAATGGCTTCAAGTTGCACCAGGGGATGTTCAGGTTAGACATTCTTCCTCATTGCACTCTACAACCTCCTGAAGGGAGGCTGTGGTGAAGAGGGATTTGGCTTCTTCTCCCAGGCAACAAGCAGGACATGGGGTAATGGCCACAAGTTGTACCAGAGGAGGTTTAGCTTAGACATAAGGAAGAACTTTTTCTCTCAGAGAGTGGTCAGGCACTGGAATGGCTGCCCAGGGAGGTGGTGGAGTCATCATCCCTGGCAGCGTTCAAGAGGTATCTGGATGACGTGCTGCATGATATGGGTTAGTGCTAGTGGTGGCAATGGTGATGAGGAGGCAGTTGGACTAGATGATCTTGTAGGTCATTTCCAACCTTGCGATTTTATGATTCTATGATTCTATGACATTAGGAAACATTTCTTCTCAGCAAGAAAGACTGCCCGGGGAGGTGCAGTCACCATCCCTGCAGGTGTTCAAGATATGTGAAGATCTGGCACTGAGGGATGTGGTTACAGGGCATGGTGTGGATGGGTCAATGGTTGGACTAGATGATCTCAGAGGTCTTTTTCAACCTTAATAATACTGTGATTCTCTGATCCTATGACTTTTGGAGCAGCTCTGGTACTAGGTGGTGAGGTTCTGATCATTTTCTTTTCAACTGCTGCCCATCTTCATTACTTAGCCTCATCTGGCTAAGGTAGGGTGATAGGGCTTCATTCTGGCCATATATGAATATCACACAGAGTTTGTGCTGCTTTTGTCCCAAGTACAGGACAGGTAGCATCTTATTCTGGTAGTAGCACAGCCATAAAGACTAGCTGCACAGAACTACCACCTCAAAAATTTAGAACCAACAAGCTTGTTCTCATCTGCCTGTTGTATTGCATGGCTGTGGTGTGTTTGATCTGATATCAGGAACTGGGTTGACCACATCGTCATCATCATCATCGTCATCATCATCATCATCATCATCAGGCTACAGCCTGAGTGGGCTGCAAAGCTGTACCATTTATTCTCTGATATCCCAGAGCCCCACAGTCTTCTTCTTACTGCAGACCATGGCATAGGAAGGGGTCATCAGCACTGCTGGCATCCAGCACAGTTGGTCAAAACAGTGACCACCTGGAAATACAGAAGCATGATAGGAAAAGAAATTTAACACCAGAATGAGCATCCTCGGGAGCTGATGGGTAGGATTTATTTCTGTCACAGATAGATTAGTCAAGGCAGGATCCTTAATGTCTCCATTGGAGATGTCCAGGCATGTCTTATACAAATAAATATATATATGATATTTATATATATATATTATAGCTACAGCTGCATAAATACAGCTACACAAATACTCGTTTGCCTGACCATTTCTTGGGCCTGAATAGGCTTGTCCCAACATTGAGGCATAGCACAGCAACACTGGTGTGTCCTGCCCTCAGAAGCTGTGCCCTACAGGCTCTGGGTGTCCTCCAGCAGTGATATGGGAAGGGTGCAGCAGCCCTCAGGGCAAAGAGGGTGTGCTCAGAAACACAAAGGTATTTTGACCAACAGTTCATGGAGATGAGCTGAATTGCCAACTGCCCTGGGGAGCAGTTTAGGATGTGCCTTGTGGGGCCATAAATACATGATGGTCCCATAAGGGGAAAGCAAAGATTCCCAAGCCAGGTTTGGGAAAGGCATCCTGATGGAGTCAAGCATGTAGCACAGAAAAACCTTTTTTTTCCCCACAGCTTCACTCATACCAAACCTAGAAAATTTTCTTCAATTTTGGGCTAACTTGTGGTGCAAACCTAACCAGGTCTGCCCCACACATCCTTTGCACCTATGGTGAGTCCCACCTTGGTGCACTGCTCCTGATACCATTTCTGGTGCACCTCAAACAGTCGTGGTGCAGTCTTAGCACCTCACAACTCGTATCCTCTCTCTTGCCAACAAGGCAAGCCTGAGCAGGCTCATTCATTGCTATCATCCACCAAAAGCACTGGGGAGCAGACAACTGTTGCTGTAGATGGCGGGTTTTTGCTGCTCTGCAGGGAAAACTATGTCACCCTTGACCTAGGAGAGCAGAGCCAGCCAAACCACAGTCTTCCCTTGCACCACATCACTCCCAGCTCCTGAAGCTCCCCAAGGCTGTGTGCAGGGAATGCAGGGAGGGGGTGGTCACAGGAGAAGAAGGCGTTCTCAGACAAAGATCAGATCTCAGAACATTGTATCTGCACTTATTAGGAGGCAGTAAAGAAGCTGGGCAATCAGAGATAAGAGTGAGCAACATGCTGTTCCCAGACGGATGGCTTGCCCGCTGGTAAAAGTGGGGGGCACAGCCTGATGCATTCTTGACATTTTGTTCTCCCAACTGATGCCAGCTCAGTCCTTATCAGCTATCTCCACGGTCAGTGATTTTTCACAGTGGATAACACCACCAAACTGCTTAGGAAAAAAATCATAAAGCTCTATCCTGGGCAGCTAAGCAGAATATTCTCATCCCAGCCTTCACATGGGGGTATTTGTGGTTTTACCTTTTCCACACTTGTCTGCTTAACCTCTTCCTCTCCATACACTTTTACGGCCCCTCCCCACCTGCAATTGCACAAACCTCAAAATGCCTTCGCTGCTGTTCCTCCTCTGTGCTGAACCACATGGAACAGGGCTTGGTGTCACTGTGCTGTGCGAGAGGCAACCTCTGTGCTCTGCTCAGTGTTCAGTCCTTTGTTAAAGCAATATTTGGGAAGCTCAATTATGTGTGCTGAAGCCAGGGATGCAATCCCATTGCTTCCCTTTTGGCTCTGGGATGGAAAAGCTTTCCAGTGGGTTATCTCACATGAGTGATGACAGTGACAAAAACATTCCCTCGAGTAATACATACTGGTACTGTTATACATATGGTGCTGCTCTGCCCTCCATCCTCAGCTTGTGCTGAGTTCATAGAATCATGGAATCACAGAATATCCCAAGTTGGAAGGGATCCAAACAAGGGATCATCGAGTCCAACTCCCAGCTCCACTCAGCACATCCAAAATCCACACCCTATGTCTGAGAGCGGTGTCCAAACGCTCCTTGCACTCCGGCACCCGGTGCCGTGCCCACAGCCCTGGGCAGGCTGTTCCATGCCCAGCACCCTGTGGTGCAGCCCCTGTCCCTGACCCCCAGCTGCCCTCCCCTGACAGCTCCATGCCGTTCCCTCGGGCCCTGTCGCTGTCACACAGAGCAGAGCTCAGCGCTGCCCCTCCGCTCCCTGTGAGGAGCTGCAGCCACCATCAGGCCTCCCCTCAGCTCCTCTGCTCTGCGCTGAGCGCACACGGGACCTCAGCTGCTCCTCAAACATCTTGTCCTCCAGACCGTTCCCCATCTTTGTAGCCCACACACACACACTGCCTCTGATATACCTACATATACCTACATATACAAATTTACACATGTACAGATAGACATGCACATCTGTATATAAAATCTCCATGCACATTGACGTACATCACACTACTACATTACTAGCTGCTTGGCAGTGCTCTGCGGTGCATCCATGTCACAGTGGCAGTATCCACAAGATGAGCTCTGTGGAGAAGGAGAACAACTATTTTAGCAGACAAAGAGCCACACAATAGTCAGGTTTCCAGGTTAACTTAGGCCCTTCTTTGGGTCTGTTTTGAAGGAAGCAGGATTGTTTTCTTTTCCGTTCACCCCTCCATTGCATTGGCAATGATGGGCATCAGCAGCTACAAGCCTGAATCCCTTCTGAACAGATTGGTCTACCACAGCCCACTGAGCTGCAGTCAGTCTCATGCGTTGCCATGTCATAGCATCACACAGCAGCTGTAACTAGCCATGCCCATATTTTCATGGCTTGCACAGGTTTGTGTGGGCCTCCACATCTGCATGCAGTCTCCCTCAGCCCACACATTGAGCCCTGCAGCTCCTGACTCATGTTGCAGGACCCTATTTGCCCATATTTTTGGAGGGGATACGCTGTGTTGATTGGCACCGTCTGGGTTAGTTCTGGCCCTGCAGCAGTCCAGCTTGTTTTCAGTTCCAGCCATGGGCTGGTCTCCTCTGAGGGAGTTGGCTGCATTCCTCTTTTCCTTCCTCCTCCCCTAAAAGCACCCAACCCATCAAGTGCAGTAGAGCCAAGCACTGCGAGCACAAGGGCAGCTTCGCAGGGACATGTTCTTTCCTTACATCTTGTGCAGGCACAGAGCAAAATGGGCTTTGGGCTTCCTCTGCTGCTTCCTACTAAGCATCAGTGGAAATTTAAGTGCCCGATCCTTCTGCTCTGACATTTTCTCTGCATCATCAGAGAATATTCAACAGTATAGATACAGAATAGCATGGCAGAGACCTGCCCATGGTCACTGGGAATGTGCCTTTCTGTTTATTCCACACAAATTCTACTCATTCTCTGTCCCAAGAAATGCTTCCCGGCACTGATAGAAACCCTTTAATACAAAACCCAGAGGCTCCCAACTCCTTACAGTAGTGGGACAAGATCTGCCAAGTGAAATTCCATGGCAGCAAATCCCATCCTCACAGTTCTTCCCTATCTGACAAGGACAACATATTTTTCCTGACTTTGGATGCTGTTTTACAAGCAAGATGTACCAGAGAGGTCCTTAAGAAGTTTCCCAGCGATGTCCCTGCAGTCATCAGGCATGTTGCCCAGAAGGGTTATGGAGTTCCCTCTTTTTGGCAGTCTCCCTCTTTTGGAGACTGCCAAAAGCCACCTGGGCACATAGGCCTGAGCACTCTGCTCTGGGTGTTCTGCCTGAGCAGATTGGGATAGATGCACCCAAAGGTCCCCTGGCCACACTGCAATTTTGTGCTTTGGGTGAATGCAATGCCACTGGTTCACACAGATGCTAATTCCAGTGATTAATATTGATTGTTTCTCCAAACAAGGAACTCCAACTTTTGTCTCTAAGGACGAATTCAATATCTCCTTAACAGTGCAAACTCACAGCTTCTTCATCTGAAATAGGAGGTAAATGGGATTGAGATGAGTTAAAGTGTGTGTGTTTGTGGTGCTCACGCTACAGGGAGGAAATGCATCTTAGTGCAAATTAGGGGAAGTGGAGGAAAAACAACACAAAGAAAATGCTCCATTGAACAGGAGCATTGAATTGGTATCCTGGCTGCCGGTTTGACTAACTCATGGTATCACTAAATCCCATTCTCCATGCAGGGAAAGAAGCCCTGCAACTGTGCATTGTCAGCGTGACGGAGGAAACAAGGGCAGCTGATGCTGGCTGGGGCAGTGTTGCTCCCGGTCCCACAGACAGACTATTGTTCAGCGTGGTGACAAAGGGCTCCCTTCTTTCCTCTACCTCACTCACTTGCTCATGGATGCATTGGAACAGTGCATCTTTTAGGACTGCATCAGTTATGGGTGGAATGCTTTGGCTGATTGCCATCAGGCCCCCGCTGCCCCTTGGGAAGGGGCACACACAGTGCTTACTCTCAGAACAGTCTAAACTCATCTCTTGGGTGCTGCTTTTTCACCTCTCCCCACAGGTGAGTGTTGCTGGAATGGGAGGTGTTTGACAGGGTGACCTCTTCCTCTGCTCACACAGAACAAAAGACCAGAAACATCTGATGAGTGGCAAGTTGTCCCTGGTGGGGTCCTTCCAGTCTGTTGTGCACACTTTACCAGGAAGACCCAATCTCTCAGTTGATGATCTCTGGCAAGTGGCAGTATCTAGTATCTGGCCAGGGGAGAGAAGACAGGGAAATAATTTTTTAACCAGTGAGAACAGCAAAAATCAACACAGTGGATAGCCAGCAACACAGGTGTCACAGCATCCTCAATTGTTCCGGACCATGCAAAGTGCTCAGTGTGAACACTGGTGATCATGTCTTCACTCAGATGACATTTTGCAGGAGGAGGTGACAACCCTGCCTATGACAGAGGGGCTGGAACTGGATGGGCTTTAAGGTCCCTTCCAACCCGAGCCATTCTCTGATTCTCTGATTCTACAATTCTATGACTCAGCTTACACCCCTGACAGATGCCTATTCTGAAGCAAGACCAAATATCTCACTGGAAGTTGTGTCTCTGGGCTGCATTCATACACAATAGCTCTGTTACAGGCAGTGGCCTTCCTTGCATGAAATACGATCATTTTTGGATGGAGGTTAAACAG